GCCTGGCATTTTTAAATTGCAATTATGCTAGGCCACGTCTCCATGGATATTTTTGCTCCAACCTCTATTGTAGGAGCTGCCATCTTGTCGGATGTCCGCATTTATTATGTAGCAAGAGGTTTTCTCCTGCGATATAATTAAAAAGTTTAAACATTAGACAAAGATTTATAAAACCTTTGTTTACTACGTAGCTTATAATTCGTTGAACTTTTTATACATTATAAAAGACATTTTAAGAAAATCCTATTTAGTAAGTTTTCTAATTCAAAACAGATGACGTTCAGATCGCAATATGAAAGTTGTTTTAACCTTTAATAATGTTATTAAATTATTTTATTGAAAACTTACAATACTGCGCTGTTCTCTAAATATTTATTAGTAAGAAAAATAGCGATTAAATTGTGTTTCTTTAAAAAAAAATTTTTTTTATTCAAACTTCTTGTCCTGTTTGCAAAAGAAAACATTAGTTGGGGGCACCATTAACCCTTCTCTTTGTATTTTAATAGCGGTTTTCTCGAGCAGAGCCGCGGGCGAAGTCTAGTGGCGTACTAAAGCCTTGAAAGATGCCCGCTTTTGAGAGTAAGTCGAGCGTGCTCCCCGCAGCGGTTATAAAAGACGGATACAATTTGTGACAAAATTAATGGTATTTATCTATTTCCGTGTTTAAATTTAAATAGTTTTCTTTGAATTATTTGCATATTTAAGGCTTTTTATATTAAACTCAAAGGTGTGTAAATATTTTAACTTCGTAAATCAGACTTATAATATTCGATTCGCTTTAAAATGTACTAAAAGCGATTTATTAAAAAACAATAAGCAATCAAATAATAAACCTTTGTTTTATCGTATATTAATTGCTGTTAAATTTAACAAATACAATAATTTCATTCATCATGTGTTAGAGTTCGTTCCAATTAAATAAAGAAAGCCTCGAAGTGAATCGATGTGGATAAATTTTTTTGTCCTACAGTGTATACTAGGATGTCGTTGAGTTCGCTCATGCATCTTGCCGCTTTCCCGCGACACTAATGCTGTGAGAATTTCTTTTCTTGTGAGAAAAAGAGTATTATAAAGCTGCCAGCGCTTGCGGCGCCATCTTGGATTTGGGAATAAAATGGCGGGAATTATCGACGACAAGCTTTCCAGGAATACAATAAAATATTATGATGAATTTTATAACGGAATTTTTGTTATTCCTACTCGACCCTTGCGTAATATAGAAAACTTGATAAGTAGCCTATGTGTTCTTCCAGACTATGTTCTATATGTATGACAAATTTCATCAAGATCCATGCGGCTGTTCTGGAGATATCTAAAAAACATCCATCCATCAAGACATCTAAACATTTCTTACTAATATTATAAATGCAAATGTTTAGATGGATGTTTGTTAGAATGTATTATATCTTTAGAATAACTCCATAAATCTCGATGAAATTTGTCATACATATAGAACATAGTCTGGAACAAATAGACGGTTAGAGTCACGAGCGACAGCTAGTACAGTCCTGTGACGTCACTGATCCGCTGGCCCTTTAGTTAGTTTATTACATAACTTTGTCTGTCCGTGTCGCTGTTCACATGGACATATATCATGGCCTGTCAACGTATAGGTGCCATCTACCGGTAAGATTCGGAGGTACAGTTGTGTAGGGATGGGATGATTATCGATAAACTTATCGATTTTTTGTCGATAAAATTGTAGTTCGGTAGTTATTTTTTTTATTGAAATCGTATGATTGCATGATTCTTATTAGAAAATTATTATTGTTCACTGTTTTTATACACGTTTAGTTGGATTTTTATATACAAGGGCACAGTAGTTCCTTTTCATTATTTGAATTTTAAATATCTTCATTTTAGTCAAACTGTATTTGTATTGAGCGTCGGTGGCTTAGGAGTCAAGCACTTGACTTGCAATCTGCAGGTCCTGGGTTCGAATCCCGCCATGTACCAATGTGTTTTTCGATATCCGATTTACATAAGTACATTTATCCGACATTCTTACGGTGAAGGAAAACATCATGATGCAACCTGTACATATCTGAGAAGAAATTTAGAGATATGTGTGAAGTCAACCCGCACTTGGCCAGCGTGGATGACTATGGCCTAATCACCCTTAACTTAGGTTAGGCTCCGAGACCCTCAGTGGGGACGTACAGTGAGCTGATGATGATGTATATGTATTTGACATATCTTTTTAATACGAAATCATTTAATAGAGATTATCTCTATGCAACACGATCTATTATTTGTAAAATAAAACGTCTATAATAATATACCTAACACACAAATATCAAAGCAAACTCTTAACATCACTTAGTTAATAGCGTAGCAATGGTGCGAACGGATTACAACGTAATAAAAGAAGTGAACAAAAATCCAATCTTTGAAACGTGTGTTCACATAATATCGCCACTTAAAAACAGGAAGTATAACAAAACGTGGCATTAAAACTTTATCGACAATAAATAAAATAGGCTAAGCTCCTCACTGGTTGTTCACGCACGCACGTATTGTGGCCCAGTTGATCCCATTGAGTTTGGTATCCGGTGTTATACACTTATTACGATTCGTTAAAGTCTCCTTGAAGAAAATACTACTTTATATTGTGGAAGGAAGTTGCTTCCGAAGACTGGACGAGAAAATTGACTCTAATTTCATGTAAATCGCAGGAAATATAAGACTGCCTCATATCAGAATCACTTTGATTATTAAAAATAGTTATTTAGCGTAAACTTATCATACTTAATCTACACTAACAGCCTCGCTGGACTATTATTTAATAACTCTGAGTGTGAAAATAAATAATTCGTACTATTATTTTAGGTTAGGAAAATGTTTGACAAACAATTGAATTTTTTGTTTCAGTTTAGCTTTTTAAAAACAAAAGGTCATGTAAAATTGGGTCTTTCAAAATGATACTTTTCCTGCAAATGGCAGATTCTAACCCGTATGACGTAAAAGATTAAGCAAATAGGAACAGGAAATTCATTCAAGTTTGTAATAAAATCGATTAATAGTTAATTGAACTTATCAACTGAGTTCATGAGCTTTAGAATTAAATTATATATAATTATACATTACATTTATTTAATTACAATATTAAATCTTTTATATACTCATGTAATTTTCATTGAAAGATTAACCGTTGATTTCTGACAACAAAATCTCTGTATAAAACATATCGTCATCCTTGTCATTATCTTTGACAAAACAGAGATAACAATATGTTTTAAACGGCGATGTGGGTCTCGGAGAGCCACAAATCAAATGTTAAAAATATAACATTTTATAACGATTAGATTGTCAATTTTTTTCATAACCTTTAAAATCATAAGATGATTTAATTTGTACTTCCAATAAAAACTGGACGTAGTAACTCTATAACCTCTAAATTACCATTTTTTACAAGGATCAAGGATGTTGAGACACAATATCTAGCATTACATAGTATTGCCACACTTAAAGCTGTTGGTCAATGTTGCCCGGATGAAATATTAGCGTATGGATTACCTTGCACCATGGAAAGCCCGATAAATAGGGAGAAATGGCCACTAATAGACGAAGGACTTGTTAGATTTTCATATTAATCATTGTGGATAAAAATTAAATCAATATTCATCATAATAATATAAATTTTAATGTTATTCACTACTAACAAAGAAATCTTACTGATTCGTTGAAATGAAAACGTAAATGTAATTTAATCTTTGACCCAAATTTTACAATGTTTCTGCACTATCTTTTTTAATTAATTATAATTTTAAAAATGTTTTACGTAAGATAATGAATTTAATAACTTTTTATCGATAAACAATTTCCTACATCACTAATCTTTTCTGACAGATGTCAAAATAGATTTGACATTTTACGTCAACGTAGTTTTTTTAATCTTTGTTTTTAATTTTTATCCACATGATTATGACGTTGTAACTTTAGTTTTTGTTGACGGTTCTCGTCAGCTTTAGGGAATGTTTGGAAGATAGAACCCGCTGCGGCTTTAGAAGCAGTCTATGGGGTGGTCAGGGGTAGAGCCAAGCGCCAGGGTAGTAATGACGTAAGCACCAGGTACCAGCAGGAGCTATCGAATTACATAACCTCACTTTTATATCTAAACTTTTTATTTAATCTGTGTTTTATTTAACATGTGCTTATTTAATTGTTGAAAACAATTGAATTCTATTTTTAAAATCATTTTCAATTTTGTATCGATATAAAGAGCGCCAAATTTGACATTGTCATTTTGACATTTTATAGTTTTAAATATCAACAAAAGCAAAGACATTACTTTGAATTAATTAAACATTAATTCATGTTTAAACTAATTTCAAAACTTATGCCTAATCTTTTTTATTTTCTTTTTAATGTAAAATATTTCAGAGTTTCGTGTAGGTTATATAATTCGATTGCATTAAATACCGTGGATTGTTATTTTAATGTTTCCATAAAGAAAATATAAACAAGAATACATTAACAGATTTAAAATGCTTTGGCTGACTTAGCTTAATTACGTTTTACACACTGACTTCTATAAATGGACTGGCTTTAAGACGTAGTTTTCTGTGCCTATTTTCCGCCATTTTGACATTGATAGTAGAGTTGTCGCGGTGGTGATAGATAGAAAACTGTCACGTAACACAGCAGGGTTAGACAAAGTGCATTCGCTTCGTAGCGATTATATAGCGAACATAAAAAATGCATAGAATTGACACAACAATCACGTGACTTATCAAAAATTATTGTCAGTTCTATACAGATTTGAAGTTCGTAATGGAATCGCTTTGAAGCGAATGTACTTTGTTTAACCCCTCAGACGCGTTAAAATCATAACGAAAGTAAAGGTTTTATTTCCAAATAAACTATCCATTTATAGAGATGAGTGTTTTTATAAGAAATGATTGTAAGAAACATATAAAACCCAAGGCACAGTATAGCTGGTACCACACCATTAGAAAGTGGAAGGGGCTAGGTGCGAACCCACATCATTGTCAACTCACAAACGTAGAAGATGTTTCAATTTCATGAAAATGCCGTCCGGTAACTGACCTATTCTGTTATTGTTCAGTTTCCTGTAAGTTAACATAAAAATAAAACAAAATAAAGTTACAAAATGTATCGATTGACATTTTTGAGGTTAGAATTTGTCTTGACAAGTAATTAACGATGTAGAAATAAAAATTGCTCATTATTAATCAGTTAAATATGTTTTTAATAGCTATATTTATTAATACATACTAGAAATAATTATTATTTAAATCAAATTATTTTTAAGGTTATAAAAACTTCTTGTAGGTTATATAACCTCAAAAATTATTTCTTGTCAAATAAAACTGAGCCTTATTTTTTTAATAAAGTTGTAGAATATAAAAATTGCTATTAAAAAATTTATATCTAACTATTAATTTTATTTCTAACTTTTGACAAATGCTTTTTATAGCATATTTATGTTATTGCCAATTGAAATATATTAAAAAATATACTACAATTATGTGTAATAATTAAAATTAATGCGTACTCACAATCTTTCCAGTGAAGTCAGAGCTAGAAATGCATCTCTTTCAATCGTGTGAATCTGGTTTTCAGATAGTTGTCTGTGAAATAAAAAAAACAATGAAAATAAAGCATCGGTTGCTTAACTTATCTTCATCGTAGGTACCATTATAGTTTTACATACATATGTACATTTATCTTATGTTCCTACGGTGAAGGAAAACATCGTGATGCTGCACATATCTGTGAAAAAATGTTAACAGGCTCGGTGGGGAAAAGTCATAATTATGGCAACTCATTATCGCCCTTAATGTCAGTGTCAAAATACTGTCACCGCATTCTAGTCATATGGACCGACAAGGATAACAGAACCGGTTGACAAACCAATTTATAACAGCTCACTATTGCCTCCCAGGAATAATATAAGTGTGCGTTTCTACTGCAGAAACATCAGTCCAAAAACATGATGTTTTTCTTTATTTAGAGAAAGAAATATACTTACAATATCTTCAAATCGTTCAAGTTTTGAAAGTCGCTTTGGAATATGATTGTCAAATTATTGCCTTGCAGATCTCTGGAACAAAAGAAACATTTTACAATAAATCCTGACCAAAATGTACATTTTCTAGTTATTCAAATACTATTTTAACAGTGGTAGAGCCCGCTTTTGTATCTTCGCACGAATTGTCCCGGCTCGCTTAGTGAAATACCACGACCATACAGAAGACAGGCGTGAAGTAAAAGCAATTCCGCGTTTCGTCTGATGAGTGTGTGTCCCGGAGGCCTAATTTAGTCCTCTTTCCCTTCCCACCTCTTTTCTTATAAGGAAAGGATGGGAAGTGGAAGTGGACTTTCCGGATGAGAGGATGCTCGGAAAGGGAAAATATTTTCTTTCTGTGCATCCTCTCCTACGTGGATTAAAGGTAGGCAACGCATATGCAATTGCGTATGTCTATGAGCAACGGTCACTTCGCTATATCATCGATTTCATGTGGCCGCTCGCTCGTTTGCCACCTAATGATATAAAAAAAAATTATGATACCATAATTTCGACATTTAAAGACATATTCATTTAGAAAAATCCTTTCAAAGTGCTGATCTATGTATCAAGAAAGTCCATTATGTCAAATCTCAAGTGTCTATGCCCAACAGTTATTTTTTAATAGTATAAAGTGGCAAACGAGCAAGCGCCCTTCATCAAACAACTTATAAATATTATAATGTGGAAGAGTTTGTTTGTTTAAACGCGCTAATCTCAGGAACTACTGGTCCGATTTGAAAAATTATTTTTTTGTTGAATAGTCCATTTATAGAGGAAGGTTATATAAGATTACACTTTGACCAATCGTTTTTTTTAAATTCCGTGCGGACGGTGTCGCGAGCGACAGCTGTCACCAATAAAGTGACCGCTGCCCATAGACCTCCGTATTTAAAGAAGCTTTGCCTATCTGTAATCAACAGATGACATGACACACATAAAGATATTTTCTCTTCCTATGCGTACTTATCTCTGCCAAATTCACCTCCCCTTTCCATCTCTTCTTTACAAGAAAAGTGTGCGAAAAGAGAAGGCTTCCGACATCTACTTTCAACTATCAGTCAAGTTTTTTATAATAGAAAAACTTACAAACTTAAATTAGCTATCTCTGCCTACCTCTCTATATTACATGATCTTGAAACTATGCGTTAAAACCTAAGTAAATCACTAATTAAGTCACTTAAGTTGCGAGTAAATGTAGCGTAAGGTTGTAGGGAAAAGTGCTTTTGCAAGTTACAAGAAAAGCCGCAACTTGGAGTCTCTGAGTGACACTTAACTAAGTTAATAAGTGGTAACGTTTGTAGGCTCTATTAAATTACTAGAAGTAATTAATATTATTAGTAGAAAGATTTCATTATTTTTGTATTTACAATAAACTAGCTGTCGCCCGCGACTTCGTCCACGCGGAAAATAAAAGTAATTAGTAGTCTACGTGTTTTTCCAGACTATGTTTTAAATTTATGCCTTTAAGCGAGATCCATGCAACCGTTCTGGATATACTTTCTAACATACATCTATTTATCCATCATTAACTCACTATAAGTCCCCACTGAGGGTCTCGGGGTCTACCCTAAGTGTAACTAGGTGATAGTGAATGCAGGTCCAGTGCATCACTTCTCACATATCTTTGACATTCACAGATATGTGCAGCATCAACATGTTTTCCTTCACACTAACAACATAAGATAAATGTACATATGTAACACATTGGTACATGGCGAGGATTCGAACCCAGAATATACAGATTATTACTTAATTAAAAATTCATAAGTACATAGGTAATTAGCCACGAAGTTAAGACATAATTTCGTTCTAAATAAATAGGCGAAGCATAAAAAAGTTACCCCCAGTAAAGCTCTTACAAATAACCGAAGTTACGGTATGAACTTAAGTATCACTTAGCGTCACTAAGTGGCACTCAAGCTCGGGTGAGTTAACTTAGAACTTGAAAAGGCTCTAGCGACCTATTTCCTTTGATAAGTAACTTACTATATAAATTACTAGCCACTTGTCCTGGTTCCGCTCGCGTATATAAAATAACTAGCGGTCGTCCATGACTACGTCCGCACGCGATAAAAAAAACATAATCAGTAGTCTATGTGTCCTTCCAGATTATGTTCTATATGTATAAAAAGTTTCATCAAGATCAGTTGAGCCGTTCTGGAGATATTTTTTAACATACATACATCTAAACATTCGCATTTATAAGTTTTTTTTTATTTATCCAGACTACATAAAGCCTAGAGCGTCGGTGGCTCACGGGTCAAGCACTTGACTTGCAAACTGCCGGTCCAGGGTTCGAATCCCGCCATGTACCAATGTGTTTTTCCATTTCCGATTTACACATGTACTTTTATCCGATGTTCTTACGGTGAAGGAAAACATCGTGATGCAACCTGCACATATCTGAGAAGAAATTCAAAGATATGTGTGAAGTCAACCAACCCGCACTTGGCCAGCGTGGTTGACTATGACCTAATCACCCTTAACTTAGGGTAGGCTCCAAGCCCCTCGATGGGGACGTATAGTGAGCTGATGATGATGATGATGACACAAAGCCTATATATAAATCTTTAAAAATCGAAACTAAAATTCAACCGCAATAATAGCGTTTAAAATATTTTGTTTATATTATTTCAATCCTTTTCTTGTTTTTTAAATAACCTTGAGGTGTTGAATACAAGTTTCATAACAGTGGAAACATGAACATGTAAACATAACACAATAATCGCTACATAAAAAGCGTCGCTTAATCTTTACGAGCAGGCTTCAACGGATCTTAAGACGTAAACTTTTATTGCCTTGTCAAGGGAAAGAATACAGACATAACAATGTTATAGAGAGATCAAAACATAATATAAAAAAGAGTAATTAATTTACACATATTAATAAAAATATTTAGAATCTCTCTGTCCGTAAATTCGCGTTTGTTCTGCGGAAAGCTGATGCGTGCAGCCATATTATACCCTAGATTTGTTTTTATGCGTTGACGAAGTCGCGTGCGACTGCTAGTCATAAACATAAATACACAACGCAGTTATTACTTGTTACCAAAATATTTAATTTGGTATTAATTTTTTGATAAAAATGATACTAGTTTCGGTCATTTAAAGATTGACGTAGTTACTAGAAAGATATATATGTAAACTAGCGGACCCGACAGACGTTGTCCTGTCTACACGTCTTTAATTTGAAAATTTCAAACTTTTTTTAATAAGCAAAGCTAGGGACAGACTAAAATTAAAATTCGAATATTATTTAGAATTTGGCACTGCGATGGTAGCGCCGTCTGTCGGATCCAATGTAAAACATTCCAAAATCAACAACTACTAATAAATTAAAAATTAATTAAATAAACATTGTCCAGCGGACAAAATAGTGAATCTAAATCATTCCCAGATCCCCTTGAACACACACAAAAAATTTCATCAAAATCGCTCCAGTCGTTTGCGAGAAGTTTACTGACATACACACTCACAGAAGAATTATATATATAAAGATATGAACATATAACATTAAAGCAGTAGAAAAAAGAGAGACATTAATTATGTCTTATACTTTATATCTGTTTCTTGTAACGATAAATTATATGTTTATGCAACTTCAAAATTGTATCTTTTATTTGAGTTGTATAATTTTTTTGCCAGTTCTAATTTATTAATAATTCTATGGTTATACCCTTTTCTATGTCATAAAGCGATATAGAGGTGGTCGGAGACGTAAAATCTTCGTAATACACATAATATCGAGGGAATTGGGTCGGGTCATTGACCGAACATATCCTGAAGCCTTATTCAATTGAGATGTCAACTTTGAGAAGTAATATATAATTGATTCAACATATTTAACGTTCATACATATATTCTGTTATACTCAGAGTCAAATGGTAACTAAGGAAGTGTTTAATGTCGATTTATAAATGAAATTGTCATTATGACCATAATAATAACACGATATAACGCGTGACCTTGACAATAAGCTATAAATTTTGTACAAACGATAAAACATAATCAGAGTTGTTCAGTGATCACTTAGGTGCTTCTTTACTTCTGCAATTATATTTGAATTGAATCTACACTATAATATTGTATGAAGTCTTCACTTAGCGACGAATTAACGACAATGCGTGCGTCCATGTGTAGATTTACTTTCAACATATCTATTCGATGTTTTGTAATGTAATTAAACATTAATTTCAATCAATCCTGTACATTCCCCGCTATAAAGAGTCGATTATCTTGCCCCTTGAGCTTTGATTGCGGCACAACTCGTAATTCGGACGACTGTAGGGTCACCATAACATCAGATTGTCTGGGACAAGTACTGATAATACGAATGATTGAAATATCGAATCTTGCACGTAGAATATTCTCTTTTTTTACAAAGAAAATAAGAGAAAAAGCTTTATGATTGTTTCGTAAATGTAAGAACTTACGGTCCTTAAGACACAGTATTTTATATTTATTGAGATAAGACTAAAACTTAGCCTTAAGATAATGGTGATCACTTATTTTGTGCTGTATTTAATATTCTTGCACTAATTGTCGTTTATTTTTGTAAATGCAGCTATTACACAGTGTTAGTTTAATGTAATATTAATATTAACTAAAGGTCGTAAAAAGTTACAACAGTAGTTGGTTTCATAAATTTTAATCATTGCATAACTGCAGGGAATGTCCTGTCTATACAATTGAATATGGTGCAACTACGCTCATCGGACAAGTTTTAATTGGTCCGTCGTATTCGTGGCGGATCATTACGAGAGTCGTGCAGCTCGCAACGTACAGACACGCCGACTTTATATAGTAAACATTGGGTTAATTAACTCTTACATTTACTTTTAGTTGCCGACTCTATTAACATTTATGTCTTCAAATAACTCGAATACAAGTCAGGCTAGGAAAAAACGCAATTCTTTTGCTAAGTTTTGCTTTAAATCGAAATCAAAAACACTTCAATTAAATGCCAATCCATTTAAATAGTTGTATTAAATAATTTGTAACTCAACACAAATGCATGACTTGCAGATCAGTTGA